GNGGGGGGGGGCGCGGGGAGTCGGCTTGCTTTACTTGGCATCTGGGGGCTGGTTTGAGACTTGGTGGTCTGTATATGTGTGGGTGTGGTCGCGGTGGTGGTGATGGTGGTGGTGGGGTTTGGGTGCACGACCGGGAAGGATGAAGGCTGCGCCTGAACCGTCACAGCGCATCCTCCTCAAGCTGGTTCTGCTCGTCGGCTGTTTCTATGCCGTCGCCTTTCTATTGGCCGCTGTATTGGTTGGCTGCTTTGAGTATGTCGCCTTGCTTTTGCAACCCCGTTTCCTGCTCTCGACCTTTTGTTGCTGTTGCTGCTATTGCGTGCTGTTGTTGTCGTTGCTTCTGGCACGCTCGTCATCAGGTCATGTACCGTTTGCGTCTCGTCTTTTTGCAGTCTCAGGTTTCATGGCAGCTTTGTCTTTGAGTTTCACGTTGGATTTGATACCAAAGTTCGGCTAGGTACGCTTGACTCTGGCGTTGTGCTGGCGTAACACATGGGGGATGGACCCGGAGGTGGTGCTCACGCTCACCCTGACCTTGCCAATGTCGGTAGCTCGTTGGTTGCAACTCGTGCTTTCCTTTTTATTCGCAGGCCCCATGGCAGCCTTGGTTTGCGGTCGGCATGCACGCGTCTGGGACTACGTCGCTAGCCTTGCTCTTGTGCACCTCGTTTTAGCCTGCATCGGTGCGTGACTCGTCCGTCATTACAAGGCTCTTGTCCTCACTCCAGCAGGATGCTTTTTTTTTTGCCTTGCACGAGCGGGCTTGTGGGTGTGTTTGGTCTCACTCGTGCTGTCCATGTGGAATGTGCAGTCAATCTCGCAGGCCCCAGTGAATGGTTGTGGTGGGTCACTTGGTTGTTCGTGAGTTTGCCCTTGGCGATCGGCGGTGGCTACCTGCCACGGTGCATCTGTCGCCACGCCAACGCAACGGTGGAACCTGTTCTGGACGAGAACGGCGTTGACCGCCACGAGTCAGCAGCATGAACTTGCCTGTAAATCGGGCTTGTCCAACAAACCCTTGTTTACCACGCGCTGATCCTCAGCCGTGCACTCGCGAATAGGTTAGAATTGTGTGTGTGTGTGTTTGGGGGGGGGGTTGTCAAAAACTTCCGGGCTCCTCGGTGTAGAAGAGCCAGAGCTTTCATGAGTTGATAATAATTCACAACGACCCTGTGCAAACGATCAGACATCTCCAAAAGCACGCAGTCGTCGCACACGGTTGACTGTGGTCGTGTGGGGTGTGTGTGTGTGTTCAAAAGTGATGCGTGTAGAAGAAAAGCTTGATGGTGTGAAGAACACTTCACATCTGATATTATTATTATTATTTGTGTAGGATCGATAAAAGAAAGGTCCGATCAAGCAAGCTAAATTGAGCGGGAAAAAAAAGAACACGACAGGGGGCAATGCGTGATCCGGGCCACCCGAGCGCGGCTCGGCTGCCGACCCGCTGCTTAGTTCTCGTCGGCGAAGCGCCAGGCAGTGTACATGGACTTGACCTTGTCGAAACCAGCAAGCACACCGGCACCGGCAACACCACGGAGAATGTTGGCACCCGCACCCTTGAAGAAAGCGCTGAAACCCTCAGCCTTGAGGATCTGGGCACCGCAGTCAATGGAGCTCTTGTACTTGACAGCCTCACCAGAGGTCATCATCATGCGACGACGGATGGTATCCAGGGGGTAGGAAGCAAGACCGGCAGCAATGGTCACGACCCAGCCGAGAGCGAAGGTGGCAAGGAAGTTGTCCTCGAGGTCCTTGCCGAGCATGGGCTTGAGGGAGTCGTAGAAACCGAAGTAGCAGCCACGGTACACAATGATACCAACGCACGAGATGACGAAGCCACGGTAGAGACCGGCAACACCGTCCGAGGCGAGGGTCTTGCGGTAGACATCGACGAGGCCGTTGAACTGACGCTCACCACCACCCTTGGCCGACTTGGCATCGTTGGCAAGACGGGTACGGGCGTAATCCAGAGAGTAGACGAAGCAGAGGGAAGCGGCACCGGCAAGACCACCCGAGGCCATGTTGCCAGCGAACCACACCCAGTAACCATCGCGCTCCTTCTTGAAACCGAACAGGGCCTTGATGTTGTCCTTGAAGGCAAAGTTCAGGGCCTGAGTGGGGAAGTAACGGATGACGTTGGCCAGGTTGCCACGCCAGAGGGAGCCGACGCCCTCGTCGGCGACGACGCGCTTGAGGCAGTCAGCAACACCGGTGTAGGGGCGGTCGAGGCGGCCAGACTTGAGCATCTCAGCCTGGTTCTGGACCAGGAGCTTGACGCGCTCGATGGGGGCAGCGGCCGTCTTGGAGATGGCAGCGGCAACACCACCGAGGAGGAAGTCCTCCATGAAGCCGAGCTTCTTCTTCTTGCCATCGGCCGGGGCCGCGGCAAGAAGGGAGCGGATGGGGGTAGCGGAGTAGAGAGCCATGGCTGTGGAAAGCGTAACAAGAATTTAAAAAAAAAGTGAGCAATGTATGAATGTGGCAGCGGTCGCTGGGGAAGAGAGAGAGAGAGATGATATGGCAGTGTCGTGTAATCACAACGCAGAAAAGTAGCGTAAAAGTAGCGTGTGCGTTATGAAGAAGAGGCGTTTTGGGGAGGGGGAATGGGGTTGAGCTGCTGCTGCCGCTCGCTTCGAAGGACGTCGTCAAGGACAGGACAGGTGTGAGGGGGTGTGTGGTCTTGGGCACGTGAGGCATGTGAGCCCCACCTCCCTCGGTTGAAAGCAAGGCGCAATCACCACACACCCACCCACACCTCTGTCAGAACGCTGGAGGTGATCAGGATGGCGTGCCAACCAGAAACCACGTCGTTCGAAGAGACTCTTGACTTTCATGGCATCCAATGCATGTGCCAAGATGGCACACAGTGGTATAAAGCCATGACAGAACGCCCCTCGAGACCTCAGGACGACTGCCAATCGCACAAGAGGAGACAGGTCGAACCTTCGCCACAAGCCACACCAGAGTCATGACTGCAACTTTGGATCAAGGGCAACTCGCATCTTTCTTGTTTTGCAACGAAGCGAGTTGGATTGTGTCTATGTGTGGAGACGGCCAACTGGAGTTTTGGCGGTCGGCCCCAAACTCCAGTGACTGCCCTTTGTGCAAAACAAGACCAGCACGATGGGAAGTCAAACCCCCCGAAGCGCATGCGCGCGACTTTGCCAACTTTTACCTGGAGGGAACTTTAACCGACCGACCAAAGGAGGGAAAGTGCCACTGACCCGCCAGCAAGCGCACTCTACACACACTACACACACTACTACACGCACTACACACTAGACATTCCACCACCACACACTTACGGTAAAGGGATCACACACCACCACCACATGTGTGGCGGAGGGGTTAGGCTATTGGGGGGGATCATGCACGTGACAGCGGGTTGTGTCGGTAACAATGCTTACGCACTATAAGAACGGTACGCTTTGTTACACTTCAAAAGACACACGCTGTGAGGGGTTGCTGAAGTTCGGCTTGGCTTTCTCTCCTTTTGTTCTCCCTCTTGTCGTGGTGGTGCTTGGGAGATGATTACGACATCGGATAAACGACTATTGTTTTGAATGGAAAAATATTGCTAAAGCTGTTTGGAAGCTGACTTCTTGGGGTCAGTTCCTAGTTGGCTACAAACAATGATCCCAGTTTGAGCTCGCGTATGGGGACGGGGCGGGCCAATCCTTGTGCCTCGACACCCTGGCGCTTTTGGACGAGAGAGCATCATGCCGGGTTCAGCAGGGTCAATCTAGGGTCGGCAATATCACTTGGCGTGTGGTCGCCCGGTCAAGAGAAGGGCATAATAACGGAATTCGAATTTTCGGCGGAGCAATAAAAAGAACAAAAAAAAAACACTAATCAGCCAGAGTCAACCTAGTTTGTAGAACGAAAAAGAAGAGCAGGGAAGGAGAGCCGCAAGAGAGTCGACGGACAGCCGCACGGGCAGGCGACGTGAAAAATTAGAACAAGACGTCACCACCGCTGCCCCAGCCGCCGCCGCCGCCAGAACCCCAGGATGAGAAACTGGCTGATGGGTCGTCGATGGGCTTGGCATCGTCGCGTTTCTAGCCATCGCAGCACCCATTCAAGCCTCATGAGCGCCTGCTCCAAAGCGCAATGACAACGTGATCAGGTCACACCCTGCATTTGATCTTACCTCGGCTTCAAGCTCCTCGATACCCTCGGGCAAATGATAGGCCGAGGACACGTCGTTGTGCGTAGGCAACGACAATCCCGCATCGGTACTGCTCTCCTCGAAGGCAGCGGCGCCATCCTCCGATTCATAACTACACATATTGCCCCCAAGCGTACAAGTCAACCTTGATGTCCATTCTCAGTCACTGAGCAAGCGTGTCCTACCTCTCGTAACCGTCCCGAGGAATCTCCCTCGTGTTAGTCAATGGACCACGGCCTTCTACGTCTGACCAACTAAGCTTGAGCTGGGGCAATCATCAAACAAGCGTCAGACAGACCTCAATGAACTGGGGAAAGGGGAAGGAGTGTGTGTTGCAAAGGCAGAGTGGCTGATGACCGTACCCGGCGCGAAGGCGCTTCGCGTGACTTGAGAATGCTTGAGCTGCGCCGACGCGGTGCTGGCTGGCTATCCGTATCGGTTGATGAAGCCAACCTCTCGGCCTCTTCTTGTGCTTTACGATCAGCTTCCTCCTTGGCCTGGCGGTCGGCTTCCTCCTTGGCACGACGATCAGCTTCCTCCTTGGCACGACGGTCGGCTTCCTCCTTGGCTTGGCGGTCGGCTTCCTCCTTGGCTTGGCGGTCAGCCTCCTCCTTCGCTTGGCGGTCGGCTTCCTCCTTGGCACGACGGTCGGCTTCCTCCTTAGCCTGGCGGTCGGCTTCCTCCTTGGCACGACGGTCGGCTTCCTCCTTGGCGCGACGGTCGGCTTCCTCCTTAGCCTGGCGGTCGGCTTCCTCCTTGGCTTGACGATCAGCTTCCTCCTTGGCGCGACGATCGGCTTCCTCCTTCGCTTGACGATCAGCCTCCTCCTTCGCTTGACGATCAGCTTCCTCCTTGGCCTGGCGATCCGCTTCCTCCTTCGCTTGACGATCAGCTTCCGCCTTGGCCTGGCGATCCGCTTCCGCCTTGGCCTGGCGATCCGCTTCCTCCTTCGCTTGACGATCAGCTTCCTCCTTGGCGCGACGATCGGCTTCCTCCTTCGCTTGACGATCAGCCTCCTCCTTCGCTTGACGATCAGCTTCCTCCTTGGCCTGGCGATCCGCTTCCTCCTTCGCTTGACGATCAGCTTCCTCCTTGGCTTGACGATCAGCTTCCTCCTTGGCCTGGCGATCAGCTTCAGTGTTTGCTGCATTTGATTCATTGGTCGAAGCGGGTCCAGATTTGGCTTCCTTCGCAAGTCGTTCGGCCTCTTCTTGCTTACGGCGGGCGGCCGCTGCACGAGCCAGTTCAGCTGCCTCCGCATTAGCCTTGCGGTCAGCCTCTTGACGAGCCCGCAACTCACCGTCATCGCTTACATCCGCCTTCTTGGGCGCTCCAAAAATCTGTTGGCCCACGGACACACCGGATCGGTTGGGCGCTGTTGTTGCTCGCGCGCGGAAACCTGTGGTGGAGTCGGCCGTCAAAATTTAGGCTCGTAGTCGGGTTTGTGGCGATGGGCAACGCACAAACATGATGTCCCTTGCTACAGCTCACAGCACAGAAAAGGCCACACATCATTAACGCACCAGCTAGTGCTGCACCAACAGCGCGATTGGATTGACCGTTTGAAGTTGAGGTGTCACTCTGAGCGTCACTTTGACCTGCGGGTGAGGCAAGTGATTGATTATACCAATGCCGCTACTTGGTGGCACCTGTGGTTGGCAGCCAGATGCAAGGGGCCCAGGTCCACACCTTTCTTCTGAAAGAGAGCCATTCGTTCAGCGATACTCAAGCCACCGGCAGGCTAAACAAAGAAGAGAACGAGAACCCGTTGATGAGATTAGTCGAAAGGATCAGGAAAAAAAAAAAAAATAAGTGGTCATACTTTGCTGGCAGTTTGCTCTGAGCGACCCGACGTGGCAGTCGGCGCGGGAGCTGATGGGTTCGCGACTGGAGTGGGTGCCGGGGCAGCTGGCGCCGTCGTTGCGGTGGGTGCCGGGCTTGGCTTTGATGGGGCAGCCTTGGGTGGAGGATCGTTTTTATCAACGGACGAGCTGGTCGCAGCTTTCCAGCGATTCAAAACAGAAGCTGGGGCCGTAGTGCGGCGGGAGGATGTGGGGGCGTCATTTGCCTCATCGCTGCTTTTATCTTTGGCTAGCAAAGCGGCGATGCGCGATTGCAAGGGACCGGCCACGGGAAGGTCAGCAGCAGCACCTCCATCCACGCTACCGCTACTCTGACGGTGCAGGGCCACTGTGGAAAAAGAGCCACGGCGTTGGGGTGCTGCGGTTACATTGGCAGTTTCCTCCTGCTGGTTCTTTTTCTCCTTTTTCAAGAGAATCTCGCGCTTCCAGGCCGGCAAGTTGGCGTATTTCTGAGCGGAATCATCCTGCTGTGCTGCCTGTGCTTCTTCCTCCTTCTTGCGCCGGGCCTCAAGGAGTGCCTGCTTCCATGCCGGAGTCGTCATACCACTGGGCGTCGGCGATGCAAAAGTTGTTTTTTTACAACGCGTGTGTATTGGCGCTACGCAGAATAACGATGACAGAGTCTGAGGATATCGATGGCTGTGCCGAGTCAAAAGTAGGCGTAATGTAGCACCTGGTGCAGGAATGAGGCAACGATGAGAAAAAAAAAACTGTTTTCCAAACTTGACTGGAGAGGACCATGGCCGCCAACCAGACGTGGGGCATGGTAAGCCATTGGCAGTGCACAAAGGCCATCAGGTACCTCAGTAGATGTTGACCGCGTTCCAGCGCGGTCCAAGTTCTCCCTCTAGCCTAGTTTTTTATTTTTATTTTTTTATTTTTTTTTTGGCACTGCTGGCCCGTGCCTACTTGCCAGGAGCGCCCAACAAGAATATAATGGCATTAGCAGAGGCAAGTAGACTGACTCACAAGGCGAGGTAGGTAGGGCGGGTAGCAGCTGGTAGAGACTGGGCCATGGTCACGAATGGGCACACCACGATGCGCGCGAGCTCAGCTCCTCGGTCCACCCCCACCAGCTCACACCACAACAAACAACAACCAACTCGATAGGAAACAGCAACCACTTTGGTTCACGTTGTCGTGACAGGGCAGACCATGCGGCAGCAAACCGGACACGCGAGCCCCAATTCAGCACGAGTTTGAGAAGCGACACGACCAAGTGCAACCTGAGGAAGTGTACGTGACTGTCGCTGTGTCCGAGAGCCAGAAAAAAAAAAAAGCGCGCACACTCACTCGAGCGGATTTCCAGAGAGAGAGAGCGAAGGATGGATGGCGGCTAGAGACAGAGAGGGAAAGCAAATGATAAAAAGAGATACAGTTCATCAAGAAGCAATTAAAAAGAGAGTGCAGTTTCGAAGATTAAAACATTGTTGTTTTTGTTAACCAATACCACAACGGTTCAGAGACAGTGGCGAACAAAGATAATTTCCCAGAGATTTATTCAACCTTCAATCAGAAACAGAGCAAGCAAAAAGCACCCAGTCCAAAGTTAGAGACACGTACCCAACCCTGCTCTACCTGACCAACGAACTTGGTCTGAGTATTCCAGCTGTTGTGCGTGTGAGTGTGTGTGTGTGTGTGTTGTGGTGATATGGAAAGACCGGCTATCAAAAGTATTTTACTATAGTATAGCATTTGTCAGATAAACCCGGTCAGTTGGGCGTCGGGCGTCGGGTTGGGGGGAAACACGCGGTGCAGGGCTGAGATCGCCGTTTGGTTAACGGGGCGCTGTCTGCGCTGCCTGCGCTGTCTGCGCTGTCTGCGCTGCACTGGGCTGTCTGGGCTGTCTGGGCTGTCTGGGGTGCACTGGAGGGCGTTCAGGTAGTATTGGAATAATCAAAACGTGTGTATCGAACAGGGGTCTATCAGTTCAGGGCTGGGAGATCGCGTTGGCAGGGTCTTGGGCCCTTGCCGCGTCATCGGCAGACATGGCGGCGGCAGTGCGCATGTGGATGTGGTTCGCCGTGCTGCTTGTCGCTGCCCCTTATGGTGCAGCGGTTGCACCTTGCTTCTATGGTGGCAACGAGTCAGCCGCCATCCACGTTGATGCCGACGTCTCGTACGGCGCGGCCTACAACAGCTTTACCGAGCGGCATGAGACGCTGCTGCTTGACGTCTACACCACCGCGGCTGGCACCCGCCCCGGGGCCAGCCCTCGTCCTCTGGTGGTCGTTGTTCACGGTGGAAACTGTCAGTTTGGCACCAAAAGTGATCCCGTGTTTGTGGCGTTGGCTCAGCGCCTGGCACGCCTCGGCTTTGTTGCCGCCTCTGTCGACTACCGCCTCTATGCCGACTGTGTTACCGGTATCGAACCCGTCACCAAGGACGTCGTAGATGCCCTTGAATACCTTCACACCAACGCTGCCACCTGGAACATTGACAACACGCGAATCGCCCTGGTCGGCTCCTCAGCCGGTGCCATCGCCTCGTTGCGTGCCGGATACGTTACCGGATCTCCGCATGCCAAGGCCATCATCTCCATCTCTGGCTTGCTTCTCAACCTCCCCGACATCAACGACGTGGCAGCCATCGACTCATCAGAGCCCCCCCTGTATCTGCTACATGGCACTGACGATCCCATACTTCCCTACTCCTCCTCTGTTGACATGTATGCCGAGGCCAAGAGCAAGGGCGTCCCAGCCATCCTCCGTCTGTGCCCTGCCGGTCATGTGCCGTGGGATCTCGTGCTCACCACGTACTTTGGTGATATCCTGCGTTTCCTTGTGGCCAAACTCGATTTGACCCCCATGTGTGACAAGCCCGCACCCGTCAACATCACGTTTCCCCTCCTCTACTCCAACCTCTCGGCCATTGCGCCCACCGCTATCGATCGCACCGCTCAGATTCGTCCGGCTCGACACTACAATACCTCCGCCCTTCCCGCTCTCGTCGTTCAACTCTCCAACTCTCGTGCGTGCCCTATCCATCCTCCATTCGGAGGATTACTTGTTATCCCACCCCGCCTCTTTGCCCGCCTCCTTGATCTAATCACCCTTTTGCCTACGCTTTGACTGTAGCCTCGATGCCAGAGCTGAATCTCGCTACTCCCTACCATACTTTGCAGCTTGATGATGCTGACTTTGCTCAGTACGTTCCTCATATCTGGTGCACTTACACCGCGCTCACCAAAGCCAGCACTCCACCTGACGCTTTGAATCCTGGTTGGTAAAATTCAAATGAGATGCGCTCCCACCATGGTAGAGCCAACCCGCGCATCGTACTGCAAAGTGCCATTCTTGCCATGACGCTTAAAGGCATGGAATTTGACGGACTCCAACTATATCTAATCGGTGCGACACTTGGCGTCGGTGCTGGAGCAACCTTCCGCTTGTCTTCATGCCCTCAACAAAATTTCACCCTGATTCCCCAATCCTCTCGCCCATGTTCCACCACAGCTGATTCTGCACATGCAGCTCTCGCGTACAACCTATCGTGCGTGGCGGGCGACCAAATCACGGCACTCCTTGCTACGTCAGCTGGCCTTCCTTCCCCTAATACCCTCGACGAGTGTGGGTGTGATGGCAATGACGACGCCCCCTGTTTTGATCGAGACCAATGCCCCTTGACAACCGTCCTGGCCCAGTTTTCTGCCACGGATGTCTGTTTCAGTGGACAAACCCAGACGCCGCGCCTGGTGCTCCAAGGCTCGGCTGATACCACTACCCCCACCGACGGCGGCTCGAGCCATGATAACTCAGCCGGAAGCTGGCTACAACTGCCTGCAGACTATGTCTTTGCCTGGATGTTCAAGCTTGGTGGAGATCGCGCGGTGGCAAGCGCCCCGCTGGGCGCTCCAGTTCCCACTGAGGCGCCGGCTTGGTCGTGCCGCAATTGCACTGATTGTACGGTGGACACTGTGGCCTGTGCAGTGCAAGGCGCAGGTTTGTCCCACACCTCTTTTGCGAGCCACACAGAACTAAACTGCGATTATCCATCTGCCTCATCCATCATTCAACCATCCGCTCTGCTTGATTAGATGGCTCTCTCCAAATCCTCGGCTCAATGACAGGCGGCAACCTGAGCAGTCAATTTTTTCGCGCCAACACGGAGACCTTGGCCTTGTGGGGTCTGCCCTCTCCCAGTGGTGCTACTACCACAACTGCGCCCGCCCCATCAACCAACGCATCCAATACCGGTGCTATCATTGGCGGTGTCTTGGGAGGCCTTGCCTGCGTGGCCTTGCTCATCACTGGTACCCTTGTGGTGAGATTGGCTTGTTCGTCTACGGCTTGAATGTCCGCTGGTGACACGCGCGCACAGCTCAGCCACAACTGTGTACCGCATTGTTCTTCTCCCCTTAGCTGCAGCGACGCAAATACTTTCAACGCGCACCTTCGGTCACGTATAACCAGTTTGAGGGCAGCGCCGAGGAGTCAGACGCTGAGGGTGACTTGGTAGCCAGCGATCCTGTCTGAGGAGAAGTGCCCACGAGTGCCGCCTCATCAAGTGATATATTCGAAGCAGGATCTCGTGTTTCCCCTGCTCGTGAGTGCTCGCATTGGTTTGGGTACCCCACTTTGCAACAAACTGTGTGTCATCATGATTCTGTAATTGACGTCTCAAGCTGGCCCAAGGACATCACATGAAACAGTTTTCAATATACCAATTGGCTTTGAGCTCTTGGGACGCACACTTGGCACAATTGACACGACCAGTACATCTGCCTGCGCGTCGAAGAACCAGGATAGGATGCATCATCCACCCAGCCTTTATCATATTTACTGTGCTGATACGGCCTACACAACACGCGAGCGAACATGACCCATGAAGCACCCAAAAGCCTCGTGCGCACTCGGGTACCCGCAACGTAATGGCAGATAAATGCCTCAACACACCTTTTCCAAGCACTCTTTGAGCGTTTCTGTTGCACCATCTCGAGTCGATGGCAAAAGAACCTTCTTGGCCTTGCCCTTTTTGGTCAAGGCCTGCGGCGTGTCATGGACAATCTCCAAGCCCTTGTTGTGGATGATGCGATTGCTTTTCACGTGATCGTTGGAAATGCGCCAGATGGGCGAGGTTGAATCCATAGGCAGCAACAAAACGTGTTCACTCGTAAACAAGGCTATTGTGGCGATGGACGAGCGTGAGCCTTGCACGGTTTAGGCGCGGGAAACTGACCAAGCGATGAAAGGCCCTTGACGCAGCAATCGCAAACTCGGGCTGTACTTACCAATCACAGGCTTTTTGCGCTTGCCCGCGAGGATGTGATGCACCATGTACCAGTCGCGGCGATAATCTTGGTCGTTGCGGGAGATCAGCGCCTGCAGCAAACTGGCACCCTCGGCCGTGTGCGCATCGTACGGGCGCAAAATCATATCCCGACGAAAGTAGCGTGGTAGGCGCACGCGCTCATGATCCACATCGCCCTATCAATCATGTCCCGGGTCACACACAGAAACACACGGCCGCGTTCGTTGTAAGAATACGACCAGAAGCCTCAGACCACTCTGAATTGCAAGCCAGTCCGAGATCATGCTGCATGACGCACCCCGGCAAGTTGTTGCAAGAGGCCAATCGTGGAGGTGGTCATGTCAATGACCCCGGTCACGGGCTTGGCAACCAGACCAAGCACGCCCTTACCCAAGCCCTTGACAAAGCCCAAAGCCCCCTCCTCCTAAAACATAGGGAGTGGTGTTTTGAGAGGCAGCATGAAGCAGACGCTGAGCAACCCAAAAGAGTGATAGACATACCTTGCCACCACGGAAGGGCTGTAGAATGAGGCCTGATGCACCTTCGTACACGCCTCTCAGGAGGGACTCACCACCATGAGAGAGTTTTTGCAGCGCCGTCTTATGGCGAGCAGCTGCCAATTTGCGTGAGCGCTGGTAATTAGCATCCATGGTCAGAGCTGCAAAGCCATTGCCCAAAGTGCCGGTGATGCTGGTCACCACGCCTGCTGCACCTGCCACTGTGTTGGAGGCCATGCTCTGGAGGCCCTCAAAAAAGGGTTCGTAATACAGCGCCGTCACACCCGTGCTGACGTGGTCCAAAAACTTGACGGGATTGCCCAAAAAGTCAAGGCCCAAGACGACTGCATGACAAGCATTGTGCGACGTGAGTCAGATGCCTGATCAGCTAAAAAACCTACAGCAATAACGACAGGAACATGGTAGATTCGCCACATACTTTTGTAGGCTAGAAACAGAGCCATGGCAATTCGTGACATGTCACGGATAAATGTGCAGCAACAATGCAGCGAGGGGAGCAATCGAATGAGCAGACAGCCGGCTTCTCTCGCAACCCGGCATGCCTCCCATTCTGATGGGAAGCGGTCTGTGCTGACAAGAGCCAAGTCTCACCTTGCATGATGCCTTCGTGAATGTAATGATTCGAGACTTCGGTGATGAGCTCATTTTGCGAACAAAAGACATTTGGCAAGAACAAGGCGTTCATTTGGAAAGGCACATCCAGGTTGGTCAAGGAGACGCCCACCGCTTTCAGGAATGCCAAGAGTGGGTTGTTGCTCTTTACATGCCCGCATCATCCACAACGCAGACAAATCAGCGTGAGCCGAGGTCAAGCAAGTGTCGATGAACAAGCCAACTCAGCGAACGATTTGCCCACCTGGATAGAGCCATCGCTTTCAAAGACAGGTGTCACAGCCACATTGATGGCAATGGGGTGCAGCTCCAAAAGACCGCAGCTAATTCGAGTGTCTGATCCTTGGGACGAAACCACCATGCTCTCCAGGTTTTGTTTCGAGGTCCATTGCAGGTCTCCCTCGACGTCCACAGCCAGCTGCAAATCATCACCGCAGAAGGGCAAGAGGAGTAAGACACGACAAAGGCAAATGCATGGAGCCAAAAAGACAAACGAAGCTTCAAAACTGAACACAAAAGTGTCACATGGGAGCAAAGGTAGGTGTCATAAACGCGCGCACCGCCAGTTGTTCGGCCTCGGGTATGAACACGGAAAGTAGGCGCAGCAAGAAACGATCTGACACAGAAAGATCGAGCTTCTGCAGCAAGATTGATACGCGATCCAGCATGACGACTGGCACGGTGGGCCCCTCGGCTCCCGAAGCCAAGTCGGCTGACACTTTGTTTTGAATGAGTAAAATCTGCGCATACAGTGCGTGATGGTGACGCATGAGTGTGTGCCAGCAACCAACACCGCCCACAAGCTACCAAAAGTTTCGAAAGCAGCACCTTGACGACGGGCAGAATAGGGGCCGTGCTTTGTGTGGGCTTTGCCGAGTTGAGAATTACTGGAACGTACGGGTCAAATGCCTACAGAAAGGCCGTGGATTTAGATGTTGAGCTTTTCCACCTTGGAGAAGACGTTTTCGATGCAAGCGAGATATACATACACACCTGATTGTCAATTTGCAATCTCTCAATGTTGAACTGCACAATGCTTTGGCGTGGACAATCGATGTACGTCAAAGCCAGGCCCGGATGCTGATGGCGGCGGATGGGAAGGGGCTCCTAATAAAACAAAGCGTCAAAGTCATCGGCACATGAGCCTTGGGCGTCGAAACATTCAAACCCATCGCCAACCGCCAGGCACTTGCACATGCAGTCAAAGGCCAATCAGCCTGTTGTCCACCTTCGTACGGCCACTCACCTCGTTGCGAAATTGCAAGGTCAGGCTCTGAAGATCCACCTTCATGCCGTCTTCCAGCGGCAGGCTCTGTGTTGAGGCACCCTTTTGTGCAGCAGCGTCGAGTTTTTTCTGTGCGCCATTAGCAAAGCGCAGCCAATCTTCGCCCCACTGATTGGTTGCAGGCAACATGTGCTCCCAGACCGTCCGGCCGCGCAAGGAGATGTACGCCACTTCCTCGGGCTGTGAACCGGGCATCAACATAGCCGTGATGGCGAGCCTCTTTGAGACAAAGGACAAGCAAGCACCACAATGAATGAATGAGATGGATGATATGAACCGACCTTGCCGTTGATTAAAGAGAGCCCGAGGCTTGCAAGGCCAAAGGTAAAGTGCAAGTTTGGCTTGACGATATTCGGGGGCCGTGCCTGCATGCTATCCCGGTCTTTGGAAAGAGTACTGATAAACAAGAGAAAGCAGAAGTCAATCCACGAAGATGTGTGCAGGCAAGTGGTTGGAACAAAGGTCCGAGCGCCCCGACAAGCAATCGGCCAAAGGGCCCAATTAACGACGTACCAGAGTCGCGTGATGGACTGGGCCACATGAGACCGATCTGTGATAACAAAGACTGGCTCTGCACCATCAGGAAACGAGGCAAAGTAAAGGCGCAAGTCATTGGCTTGCTCTGGCAGAGCAACCATGTGCTTGGACACTGTAAATTTGTTGAAGCTGCGCTTCACCATGGCGTCATGCCCTTGCAAGCGCCACTCGACGGCCTGGGCACCCTAAAAGATGAATTGACAGCACAGGCACAATTGAGTAACAGATGGACAAACGTGCGAAATGGCATGGAGATGCCGCCCGGCCGATTTTCCAAACGAGCAGTCTGTTCAATGCCTTGCCATCTCATCAAGGCAAGCAAGCGAGAGCAAAGCAAACGTACGCTGGAATCCGTGCGCATGAAGAAAACCTTCTGGCCCGCTGCCAGCGTCACCCATGCATCGTCGCCGGCCCCGACCTGACGAATTTGAAGCGCGTGTTGCCGCATGTGGTTCTCAACTCGAACATCAGCAACACCATCAAAATCTGACAGAACAACACACAGTGACGTCTTTCGGAACAGAAATCAGACAAAGAAGACAAGGGCGCGAACCAGTCATACGGCAGCGAGAGTCAGGTGAGCTTGGAGCAAGAGTTGAAGGATTATAAAAATTTAAAAAAAAAAAAAAAAAAAAAAAAAAAAAAATTGCAACAGAGGCGCTTACCCCTGCCGGCCGCACGCTAGCGCGCACAACGTGATACTCGTTATCATGGTTTTTGTGACGGAACATGAGCCCGAATGAGCCTGGCTGACCCACGGGTATAGTGTGCTCGAGTTTCTTAGCCTTTAAGCTAAGCAAGAGAACGCATCGAAGCAAAGCACACTCCAAAGTCAGCACTCGAATAACAATGAGGTGGCAGGAAAGGTTATGGCTTGTCAAAGGACGCACCCAAAAGATAGTAAAAACGGCGCGCGGGTAAGCCAGAGCGGCACCGACTCAGACGGTTTAATTTGATGGACCTCAGCACCGTCCAGACCAGCCTCAGCAAAATGCAGCGCCCGACGACACTCGTTGCGCAGAAGAAAACGGGGTTCCAGCAGCACGATGCGTGTCAGACCACCGGTAGCAAGTGAGATGCGAATTGAAAAGCTCTGCTCGCCCCCATTTGTACCAGGCATAGTAACAACGTCGGTATGTCCCACAGTGTTGAGGTTGATGCCGTCGCTCCACTTGCTGTCTGCGATCCGGAAGCGAGCCCGTGAAGTTTTGGCACGATGCTGCGAGAACGAAAACAAAAGCGGGCTCTCATGGCCGCCGGGGATGTGTCGCACAGACGGGCCATCCTCCTTGTCACCCTTTTGCCGGATTTCAATCGGCTGCCCGGTTTTGTTAATAATCCAATAGGGGGCTGCAATGTTCATCAAGGTCGAATGGTCCACTTTGTTCGTTGCAATATCCAAATTCAACGACATGATGCGCTCGTGGGCAACGGTGATATCCACAACACCATCCTTCTCCTGCGCACCAAGGCATCGGCACATGCTTTTTATGACACAAGGCGGGGCCCGTGGCACTACCAAAACACCAAGGCGTTTTTGCAAGCCACACAACGCACCGTTTGCCCTGCAGTCAGGAGCGGCACGGGCTCGGACCACAGCGTTTCCTCCAACTCGGCGCAGCCCTGTATCCAGATGCATTGAATCAACCATGAAATACCAGCTTCAACCCCTGAATGTTGAAGAGGCACCCGCCCTGTACAACGCGCACTTACCTTGGCTCGAGCACCCGGAACTGTAAAGCTCGCTGTCACGTCGTGGTGCAGAGCATCAAGCACCGGCAGAAGCTGCCCTGGTTCCAGGTGGACGTCGACTGGAGTTGTGGTGAGACCCGGATACATTAGCTTGAGCAGGACTTGCTCCGGCAGGCAGTTGCGAAGCGTAAGTGGCGAAGTTAACAAAATGGTGTGCTGCGGGTGTTGCTTGCCCGGTTGGCCAGTAATGTAGCGTTGGCGCTTGCGCACCACCTGCAGCTTCAGGCCCTCGGTGTGGCCTACCGAGGCTGCCAGCGCATTCTCTGGTTCAGTGCTGCTCTCAAAAGCATCACATTGCACCACGTGATAGTTCTTATCATAACCAATCGTGGTGCTGTAACCATACGACATTCCTGAAGGTCGGATTTGAAACCCTCGATAGGCGACAAGCAATGGCAAGTTGTACGTTTCTTCGTGCTCCACTTGAGCCAGCACGACGGCCTCGCCACTCGTGCCGTCCACGTACGCAACATCGATGGGAATGTGCAGCTCGTTGCGTACCTATGATCGTGCAAGTGAGACAAGAACTGAGATGAGAGGGCGTTTCACGAAACAAAGCTGGGGTTAAGATCCAAGTGGTCAAGGGCAAAGCGCACTTACACGAAGTGTAGAACGAAGAATGACCTGCTTCTGTGCCCCCTTCATGATCACCTCCACTGCCAAATGCACAGAGCGCGCACCAGCCTGAACCTCATAACCGTACAAACCCACAGCTTCCACCTCTATGCCTTGAAGAAGGCTGCAACCCTCGAGCTGAACGTCAATTGTACGCGTGTCCTGCTGGCTGCTGAGAAGAAGCGTTTTCAGAGGACGCGGGTCCTGGAGGTGACGATCGGTGAACTGCAGACCCATCGTTGCGCAGGCCTCCAAGGCCTGCGTTTGCTCCTCGACCGTGACTTGTGCGTTGTAGCCCGTTTCGTTGACCAGGATAAAGGGGGCAAAATCCCGCTCGTCGGCCGTCTGGGAGTTGATGCGACCATCCGAGGACGATGCGCCCGCGGCACTTATGGGCGGACTCACAAAGCTCGACTCCATTAGGACTTGATACAAGGCCGTGCTAAAGTTGAGTTCCAGTGCGTCGGCACTGCTGAGCAAGCAGATGGTTGTTGGAAGATTACCTTCACTATTCAAGCCATCTGTCGCGCTGGCAAGCTCGGACCTCTCCGCGTCGACGAAGGCTTCCGGGTCTGAGTAGCTGCGAGCACGGGGTGGTGCGAGTTGCCGGTCAGGCGCGTCTGCCGAGTCCACTGGAGAAGGGTTGATCGTCAGGTGTGCTTGTAGCTGCCAGAGTCGAATTCGGTCCTCAGCAGTCTCAACGATGGGTTCAATCAAAGGCTCCCAAGTAGATACTTTGGCGTTGTAGTAGTTGATGCCCAGCCCAACAGTGGCCCACAATTGAAGCGGCTCTGTGGCAGAGGATAGGTTCCGTGCGTTGGCTGACAGTGACGTCGAAACGAGGAACAGTGGTCGCACCGGTGCCTGCCCATCATCCAAAATCGTGATATCAATCGCAGAAAGCTGAATGTGGGCCGTGCTTCGCCCAGCCCAGGCATCCATGTGTGTCTACGACAAACAAGCAGGCCGACAATTGAGGCGTGAGCAAAGAGCCACGTGTGCGTTGCGGACTGAAACGACAAGTGACACCAAAAAGCAAAGGAAACAAGATGCCACCAAGATCGCATGCCCAAAAACGTGCTCTGAGTCAGGCTTGGGCAACCGGAACAAAAGAAATGCATGATGGTGCAAGGAATTGCCGTTTTACCAACCACTGTGGAAGCAGCAAATTGCGATGGCGTGAAACGCCCGCTCCCCACGGGGCCGGCGCTGGCACTCGTTCGGACACTGGCCAGTGAAGTATCATCATCGGCCTCGCTGTCCTTGAGGTACCAAGCTTCCTCGTCCACGTCCCGGCCCTCGAGAGACAGGAGTGTCTCCATGGGTCCAGCTTGTTCTTCATCCGGCGTCGGGGCCAGCGCAGCCAGCACTGCATTGACAATTTCCAAATCCAAATAACTGAGCGTCAGAGACATCCGCTTGGCTTGGACGTCGACCGTCATGGTTCCATCTTCATTGGACTGCGAAAACATGATGGCCATCGCAGTGGGTTGCAACATGGTGTTCAGGAGGGCGCGCCGACCAATGTGCTTGAGCGAGGCCACCTTGAGCTCAGCCAGGTCCACTGATGCATTTATTTGCTCTGCTCCCATGCCGTACATGATGCTATGACACACACACACACACACACACACACACACACGCACACACACACGCACACACACACACACACACACACACACACACACACACACACACACAAGTGAGAGAATCAGAAGGTCCGTGTCAACACAGAATGCGCATTGAAGCAATGCAAAGGGAAGAGCACACACAACCCTGCACAACCCTAGAACGGAACCAAGGCCACGCACTGAGTTTCCAGGCCCACGCGCAAAGCGCGCGAAGCTGGTTTTGCCGGATCAGCGTAGATAACAATGGCTGCATCGGTCAGGTTGAGGGACACGCGCATGCTGCCAGATGCTGCTTGGACCTCCTCGGGCTCAACAGACGTGCCAGTGCTCGTATCGACCACGGGTGCTTCACTTGTTTCCGGAGACGATACAGTTGTTGTTGTGGCTGGTTGAGAGGGCATGAAAGCCGCCAAGGCCAGTAAAAAGTCCATGCACAGTTGGCAACGAAGGCCATCCAGCGTAATGCTAACGGTGGATTGATCGCTCAGAGCGCGATAACGAAGCTGAAGCATGTTGACGTTCTGATCAGCACCCGAGGCAACGCTTGTGGCAGCCTTGAGCTCCAACAGGGCTCGCTCATCATCAGCCACGACGTTGGCCATGGCATTCTGCTCCTCTTCTCGCACATCGTCAGAATCACGCCAACCCAGCAACATGCGATAGAGAGAGCTACATAGCGCAATTTATCGTTTCGGTGAGTTGAACACATGGCCATGCAAATCGCATCACAAACTTAGAAGAGCCAAAAGGAAAAGGAAACCTTGTCCAGCGAAACAAGACCCAAGTTATAACCAGTGAGCACGCACCTCGAACCATCACGAGTGTCTTTGACAGCCAGCGATGCCATTTGAATGGTGGCTTGGATCGCACCATCAGACTCGATCTTGGCAGCGAGAGCAATATCGCGCAGCCACACGGAGGCCAGTGCGTGCTGGCCTTTGCTCAAGTGCAAGGCCACTTGATCAATTTTCATAGCCACCACTGTGGCCTCCCAAATTTGCTGCAGCTCAGGTTGCGACTGAAGAGCGGACATGACAGCCACAGACACGGAACGAGGGCGGCTCATTCGAGGAGCTCGGGGCAGGGAAGATGCCGCCGTGGCCGCTTCCCCATCAAGTCCATCGTCGCGCTCCTCTACGACGGTTACTAGCGGTGCTGACGTCACCGGCTGGATGTCCTGCACTTCTGCCTCGAGAGCTGCAACATCCAAACCTTCAGAACTCGGAGGGGCAAGTTCAGGTGCAATGGCCTTAAAGGTAGCTGTTTGTTGCGCAAGGCGGTCTTGAGTGTGGCCTTGGGCTGCAGTCGTCGGAGGTGTGGGCTTGGGCGGCAAAACCGGTGCTTCTGCCATGTTGTCGCTGGCTAGAGTCATGAGAGCGGCCACATCAGCATCGTCAACGTTGAGCGTGATGTCCGGCAGCTCTCCTCGGACTGCTACGTCCGGTACTTGCGGCAAATCAAGGCTCAGGCATCTCTCAACAACGATGCCAATATTCAGTTTGTTGAGCAAGTGCCGCGCCTTGGCCTTGTCTTCTTGAAGCACAATGAAAACCTCCCGCAGCTCCACGCGCATCTCATCAGCTACGTAAGGCGTGCTGGCCTCCCCGTGTGTTCGTTGCTCAATCAGATTAGAAACAGTCAGCGTACCCAAGTCAGCCTCAAGGGCAGTTTGTGAGGTTGAAGACACGGGCACCACAATGTGCGGCGCTTTGAGCATCACATCCAACGCGATCTTCGTACCCACAGCTGCGGCGGCTGCGGCCACCACTGACTCCACTGCGGCAATGGCTGTGTTTGTGGTGAGCACTGATAGGCGCGAGGTCATGGAGGGCGTGGGAGATGCAGCACGCGGCGGTGGCGCCAGCGAGTGCTTGGATGCTGGGCTCGCGACGGGTTGCTTGTGGAGACCTGCATCACTCGAGGCGGATGGATGGACTGACGCGGGCGTTGACACTGACTCATCGGGACTCAAGCCAGCCGCATATGTTGACAGGTCGGTGATGAAGCGCATCAAAACATAGGCCTTGAGCTGATCCACGCGCAGTTGAATGCGCATGTCTGGTTCGGTGTCTTCGCGCGTGGGGCTGGGATTATACGAAACAAAGCTCAGGTGGAGCATACGATCTCCAGTGTTGGTCAAGATGATTGGATAGAGGCTTGAGGGAGAACTCAAATCCTGAACTTCCAAAGCTCCCACGTCCACGTCAGCGTGTGTGGCCTCGTCCGTCATGGTTGCGGCAACGGCGATTTGTGAAATGGTCGTTGAAGCCAAAGCCTGAGAGGCTGTTTCTAATCGAAGTTCGAGTCCATCAATCGACACATTGGCCTTGAGGTTGGTCACTTTTGTGGCGGCGACGGGCTTTGTAGCGTCGACGGGACTATGCACGTTGCTGCCGGGAACGGGCGTAGCGCTGCCTGCTGTGTTGGAAGAAGCTACCTCTGGAATGTCAGCAGACGGCTCAGAAGCTGGGTCGGTGTCAGTCGTTGGACGCGCTGCTGCAGTACCAGCGTCAGCTTCGGGAGCAGCAAAGGTTGATGAGGACCATGTCAAAAGACGGGCAAGACTCTCTTGTACAATGGTGCCTTTGAGGCAACCAATCTGGATGGTAGCTTGTTGCAAGATGTGCTTGTGTTCATCAAAGAGCAGAGACGTGGCGGGACACGAGGCAAACTCAACCAGAACGAGGGCTCGGGGTGCATGTGCTCCCGCGGCAGCTGTCGCCATGTTTTCCAGGTCTACTGGACGAGACTCGAGCAAGTTGCGCTGGGCGAGGTGATCTACGATTCGCAACTCTTGAAGGCTTAACGAAGCGCGCATGTCCTCGCGCATGATAAAGCGTTGAATGTGGAGCCCCGACAGCCGCAGGGTAGCAAGAGGCTCCTCCGTGTCGCCCTCATTGGCCTGATGGGCATCAAGCAACTTGATGGCAATCAGCTTGATGGTGAATGAAGCTTCAACGTTGACGTGCCGTGCCGCTTTAAGCGGTGCATCTGGATCGAGCTTGCGCTCGTCCTCCTGAGCTTCAACGACAACCGGTGTGGGGGTAGCTGGGGTGGGCGTGGTTGGGGTTGGGGTTGTAGAGCGGCGATCGCGGCCAAACCGAAAGGGTGAGCGCGAACGAGAGCGAGCCTCCTGCTTTGGTGTGGACAACGACGCATGACTCTCTGCGTCCGAGTTGTCACCCTCATCGCAAGAGTAAAAGGTTTCCTCATCCTCAGTCATCGTTGATGCACGCGAGCGGGATGGTGAGGTCACGGACCATTGGTTTGAGCGTCCGCGAATGGGTGATAAAGTGCGTTTGCTCGGCGAAGACATTGGCGTCGGAGAGGTGGACACGCCCGGGACGCCGAGAAGGGTTTGAGTATGTGAAGGTGCCTTGTGCTTGGTGTTTTGGCGATCGGCGTTTGCCTTTTCGGAGCGACGGGCAGCCTCTATGGCGCGACGTCGCTCGTTGGCTGCACGCCGGGCCTCGATCTCACGGCGGCGCCGCTCAGCCTCAATGGCCATGTCGTCGCGGACAACCTCTGCTTCTGGTTTTGAGGGGGCTGCAGCGACTGGCACGGCAGCGGGCTCTGGCGTGACATGCTCCAGCAAGGCCATGAGGCGGCGATACTTGGCATCAGAAAAGTGCAGCGTCACATTTTCCATGGTTCCATTGACCTTGAGACGAGCATAGTTGACATCATCTTGGGCCACACATTGCTGCAACGTCAGGGTCGTGTCAATGGGCTCGAGCAGCAGGTATGGGCTGTCATCGCTCAACAGCGCTCGTGACCACAGTCTATTGGCAGACAACCCAGATCCGGGAGGGGTGTGACGATACATGAGCACTGCGCCATCTGCCAAGTGCATCTTTTGTCTACATGGGACGCGGCACGACACTAAACAACGAGAAAACCAGGCAAGGATAGCCAACGAACTTGGTTGCCTCCAACTCGCTGCTGACGGGACCCAACAGGACGGCCCGAACGTTTGTGAGGCCAATGTGAAAACGATCATACATGCCCACACTAACGTTGGTAATGTTAGCCTGGATGCAACCAAGCAAGGCAATCAGGGGAGGGCAGCATCAGATCACATTCTTAATGAGCACTCTGTTCAAGCTGAGCTCACGCGCAAACATTGCTGGGCGAAGGCGCAAGGTCGCAAGGGCGGATGATTGCCCGACGGGTGACTACCTGGCCAGCGTGAGAGAGATCAGACTTGATTTCCATTGCACCGAGGTCGAGCAAGAGGAGGGCTTTGGGACTTGGCACAACGACACGAGGGGCCCCAACCCAAATGTCAACATCAATCGTCTTGTGGGTTTCTGTGTGCAGAGTCCAGCCGCAGGCGCACGTGAGTGCCGCGCGCACCAACGCACCACACAGGATTCATGCCCCTCTCACAAACATACCAATCGCATACAGAAGACCTGTGGCCGTGCTCTCCTGGATGGCTAACATGCTGGCTGACGTGGCGTCGGCCAAATCCTCCAAAGAAACCAGAGCAGCAGGCGGAGCAAAAAAATCGGACAGAGCAGATAGCGTTTGCTCGACGTAGACGACCTCGAGGGGCCTTGTACTCAGAGTCAGCGCCGAGTCGGCACGCTTATCAAGTGGATTGGTCTCGAAAAATAGCTTCAGAAGTTCTGGCATCGAGCCCCCGCGCTGGTTATGGCGACGCAATTGCTTGTCACCTCCGAGCACCCGTTGGTCCTTGGCCTGCCTGACGATGACGCAAAAGTCCTTTTCCGCGCGCAGCTCGTCGACTATGGAAAGGCTATCGGGGCGTTCATGCAAGGAGCGAGGATCCAGGCAGTCCAACCGCGTCAAGCATGGCTAGAGCTCTCATACCTGCGACCAAGAGGACAGGCGGAGAGGCATCATCAAGTTGTGTTTATAGCTAGACTTACTCTTGCAAGCCCAAAGCAACGCTCATGGCCTCTGCGCCAGGGCGCTGTTGAAATTTGAGATCCAGAGCGTAGAGCTTGATGCTCATGAGATCCAGGGAGCCCGGAGCGGACTTGCCCGCAGTCGCCAGAGCGCGTTGACCCTGCAAAAACGTCCGACACTCGGCTCAGGATATGACGAGATCGGAGGCAGGGTTACAACAGCAGGCTTACTTGGCGCAATTTGAAGGAAAAGATATCAAGCTTGAGTGTGAAGACCGTTGCAACGTATCCTGGCGACAAGACGGACATTTTCTCGCCCTCTCTACCTCAGCAACAAGGCAGGCATCTGCATAAGACACACATGGAAGTTGTGGCATGACAAGTGCGAGCGGTGCAACCGGCGAACGACAAACGTGTATCCAATGGCCCCGTAGAGTTTGTGCATGTCTTCTTTGGTGAGACCATCTCCCTCCTCAGCGGCCTTGTTCTGCGCACCTCGGCAAGGACAGTGAGCAAGCTGTGTGCAATGATGTTCCAGAAGAAGCACACGGGGCCAGGAAGCGGGCGCACCTCGGCGTGTGGCTCGTTGTGATGACCTCGCAACCAGCCAAACCAAGAACCATGGTCCTTTTTCTCCTTCTCCTGTTGCTTCATGCGCTCTGCTTCTTTGCGCACCTCGTCCAGCTCCTCCAGCACAATGCCACGATAGAGAATAATGTCTTGCGCTGAGAGGTCCCGTTCGGCGTCATCAACTGCAGCTTGCAGCGCCTTGGAAGGCTTGGCCGCCGAGGCTAGCTGGCGATACACCTCCAAATACTGCTTGCGTTGATCTCGGCGTTTGCGGAAGTGCTCCCAAGTCCACACCCTCTGTCGATCGCGAGCATCCTTACGAGCCGCCTGGATGGCGTATTGCCATCGCGTGCGTGGCGTACTCATGGCCGGCCTATAGAGGAGGATAGGACAAAATGACGGCGGGGGGAAAATACAGTGTCACCAGGAAATGAGTGTCTTTGCTGCGCCAAGGCGGTTCAACACGTTTTGACATGCAGACATGCCTGAGAGCCCGATATGGCTGTTGGCGAGCGTATCGCGACATGGCATCGGACACCAGAAGCAGATCTTCGTATTGATCACGGCTTAGCTCGAGCTGCAGCTTGCCCAGGTCAAGGCTCGCGTTGATTTGGGGAATCTTAGCAGCCTCACCCTTTGTGTTCAGGATGACCTTCATCTCCAAACTCAAGGGCCGTAGAATGTAATCAAACTCGACCGGGCTGCAACCATGCCACAAAGCACAAAGATGTCACATGCCAGGCTTGAAAAGAGAATAAACGAGCAGGCAGGGCAGATTCTCTGGCCTTCGAGCATTGAACACCTACTGATTGCGGCCAGGAATAAGATCGCGCATCTTGTTTAAGCAAACATCTCGCCGTAAGGATTTGATGGGGCTGACATCCTGGGCATGAAGGGATACAGTCTTGTAAGCTCATAAGACAGGGCTTGGCGTAGCATCAAGACCATGCCGAGGGAGGAGGGGAAGGGACGTACGGGCTGGGCGTAAACACTCAAGCCCTCGAGCTCTACGAGCTTGAAGACCTCGATGGGCATGCCACCTGCGAATGATCGCACAATTGCAAGGGAATACGTATGAGCAATTTGCTAGTCGCCCATGTGGCCAGGGCGCGAGGCGGCGACGTACCGGCAAACGTTGGCTCCCAGTTTTTGTTTGTCGTTTCAGCGGCCAATCGTTTGAGGGTGATACCCATGGCAAGCGGGTGATTGGGATGTGAGACATCGTCCTCATACCGGATGTGGATGTTGCTCACTTGCACCTAAACCCAGGCGGTGTAGGGAGAGAATGGCGAGACATGGGCCGGTGAGGCCAGAGGTGAGAACATTCACCACAATCCACTAGCAGCGTTTGAAATGGCCGAACCTGGAGGTTATTGACGATTGAGGCCACCAGCTTTTCGGTAAAGGAAGCGTTTGCATCGGTTTTGTTCGCAGCATCCAGCAGGGCCTGCCGCTGTGTCATCCACTGGGCTACCAGCGATTGTTTGACTTGTTCCTGTACTTTGGCCTCGTGTTCGGGGTCTACCAAGATCCAAGAGGGGGTCAGCCGAGTGGAAATGAGACAGTCGATGACAAACTGGCTATTGAACGCAAGTGGGCCAAGACTTAGGGTCTAGCCTGCCAGATTGAGATGGAGACGCTCAGAACGAACCAAACGGTTGATTTAGCTCTGGGCCGAGGACAATAAGCACATCGTCAACTTTGGCCACCACTGGCTTTTTGGGTGATGGAAATAGATCTTTCCAGGGAACTTTCAAGATGATGGAGCCCACATGACCATGATAGACGCGGCCTGGGATGTTGAGCTCAGCAAGGACACCAGCCTTGAGGCGCAGATCCTTGAGCTCGATGTCACCGCCCCAGATGCCGACGTTGAGCTATCGGGAAGTGGTTGGTTGGTGGTGAGTGTGAGCTCGCATGCGCTCATGATTGGGCTGGGTGCAACAAGCGATCGACAAAGTGGACTGGAGCGACAAGGTGGGAACCTGTTCGGCATCGATGCCCTCGAGGTAGGGGCTGAGGTAGGTGTTGAGCGTTTTGGCGAGGAGCTTTTGGAACACTAGATCATCGTGTCGGCGCGCAAGGCGTGTGTGGTGAGGAGGGCCTTGACGAGACCATGAGCATGCAAGAGGATGGACCAATGGGGGAAAGGGGGGTGCGGCAACGCACTCGTGATGGCGAGGCTGAACGGCAATGCTCATGCAAGGACGGATCCAGTCTGCAGTGCACGGCGCCCCGATCGTGCCGGGGCGCACACGAGGCTGTCTACAAGGGCCGCCAAAACCAAAGTCCCTCGACCCAAGTCTCCGGCGGCGCACAAAAGCGGGCCTTTTATGAATCTGAATCTGATTGTGGTGGACACAAGCTCTCACTCCCATCGGATCGCGCTGGTTTGGGGACCGACCCTAAAAGCAAATGCCAGTTCGAGGACACCATGCAGTGAGACCAGCCATGCGCATGCTCGAGCCACATGCTCTTCTGGAACACAACCCGATGCACCACCACCACCACTACCACCATGGACCCGAGGAACCCTCCCCCTGACCCGACCCAGCCACCCAGTATGCCCAGCGACAACCACTCACAAACCGCCACCTCCCCCTTGGTACAGTGACATGCACCGCGCTCCACTGCCCGATACACGGAGAGAGAGAGAGAGAGAGAGAAGTGACCTGTTACGCTGCTGCTGCAGTAGGAAGGTAAACCGGCTACATGTGTCGCATCTTTCTTCTTCTGCTTCTGCTTCTGCTTCTTCGTTTTTCTTTTTCTTCTTCTTCTTTGTGATTCTCTCTCTGTGATCTCTCTCTGTCTCACACCTCTCTCTCTCTCTCTCTCTCTCTCTCTCTCTCTCTCTCTCTCTCTCTCTCTCTCTCTCTCTCTCTCTCTCTCTCTCTCTCTCTCTCTCTCTCTCTCTCTCTCTCTCTCTCTCTCTCTCTCTCTCTCTCTCTCTCTCTCTCTCTCTCTTTCTCAAACCGACCAAACCAATTCACTCACTCACACACACACACACTCTCTCTCTCCAAACTCTCATTCTCTCTAATCTCAAAGAGAAGCCCAATGGAGGCAACGATCAGGGTGGAGAACGAGCGCGCGTGACCGAGCTGGTAGTACGAGAGTCAGGGCGAAAAGAGAAAGGATGCCATTTTGGTTTGTTTCAAGCAGAGATCAGATGAAGCCATCAACAAGGAGGGGACGGACAGCAAAACAAGCGCAGGCCCGCAAAACAGAGCGTAGCGTAGGAGGGGATCAAAGAGAGTTGTTTACGAACGCTGCTTGATGCCATATTGTTTCAGCTGTTGTCCCAACGTTCACCCAGAAGGAAATTCAGATTGAGAGAGACGTTTGAAAAGTCAAGCAGCAGTGGCGGTGGGGACGGATCGGCAAAAGAGCCGTACCTGAAGAAGAATGGAGCGGAGGCGACTGGTGTCTTTGTGGTTGAAGTTGTTCTTTGTGTTAAAGTCCACATGAAAGGCAACGCGCTCCCACTCGCTACCGGGCTCAGCATTGTCGCGCTGTTGAATGTAGGCCGCCTCGTCATCCTGGTTCTGCTTCTGGCGATCCTCGACAGCCTTGCGCTGCTTGTTGCGCCACTCCTCCAGCTCCTTTTCACCCTTTTCCTTCAGCGCCTACAACCATGGGAGAAAGGAAAGAGCGAGGATTGCATCCCAGTGACACGCGGCATAAGCGCAGGCAGCAAGGCGGCCGCACCACAACAGCCTGGTGTGTGCGCATTGCCCTTGGCCCCTTTCTCGGTTGCCGAAGTGGAGACCGCTCAAGTCAAAGACTGGTATTGTGTTACAATAAAACGAGGCACAGCACCCCTACCTTGTCAGCTTCCGCGGCCTTGCTATCGCGCTCAGCCAACTGTGTTGCTTGCTTCTCCTTCCACTCGCTGTTGGGGAGAGGAGAGCAGAGGCGGGGCGTGTGAGAATCTTGGAGGTGACTGTATGCTCGATCATCAAGTGCGAACCACGTACCGGATGGCCTCGTGCTCAGCATCGCTGTTGCCAAAGAAGGCCCCATTGGTGCTGCCCGTGGCTGATGCCGGGGCGGATGGCGTCAGGTCGGCGGGCGCCTGCACAATAAAACATAACAAAACAAATGAGAAAAAAAAAAGAAAAAAAGAAAGAAAGAAACAGAACGTCAAAAGCAAGCGGCGTCTCTTCACAGCTCGTGATGCACGCTCAAGCCGATTCTCAAGCCCATAAAATCCAACCTCAGCGGCCTCGGGCTCGGGCTCGGTGGAGGTGGCATCGGCGGTCTCCTCAGCCGGGACTTCAGTGGTCGGGTCAAACTCATCCATGCTGCTGGCTATGTTCATCCATCGCACACCACACAACACAGTGAGATGCATTCACTTGGCCCACCTTTGGCGCAAACGCCCCTCTCCCACACTTCCCATCACATTCCATCCACCACCAAACCAGACGACAGTGAAAATGGATCGAATCAATGGAAAACAGGGCCGGCTGCCGTTTCAAAGTCACCCAGTGGCGGGAAAGAGAACCAACAAAGGGAACAAGCTGTTTTGTTGTACCTTTTGGGTGTTGCGGTTGCAGTGATAAATGGAGGAAGTAAAACACTTTTTCCCAAAGTGAGAGACGACGACGACTACTTCTACTCTTCTACTACAACTACTACTTCTACTACTTCTACCACTTCTACCACTTCTACCACTTCTACTACTTCTACCACTTCTACTACTTCTACTACTTCTACTACTTCTACTATTTCTACTATTTCTACTATTTCTACTACTTCTACTACTTCTACTACTTGTACTACTTCTACTACTTCTACTACTTCCTACTACTTCTACTACTTCTACTACTTCTACTACTTCTACTACTTCTACTACTTCTACTACTTCTACTACTTCTACTACTTCTACTATTTCTACTATTTCTACTACTTCTACTACTTCTACTACTTGTACTACTTCTACTACTTCTACTACTTCCTACTACTTCTACTACTTCTACTACTTCTACTACTTCTACTACTTCTACTACTTCTACTACTTCTACTACTTCTACTACTTCTACTACTTCTACTACTTCTACTACTTCTACTACTTCTACTACTTCTACTACTTCTACTACTTCTACTACTTCTACTACTTCTACTACTTCTACTACTTCTACTACTTCTACTACTTCTACTACTTCTACTACTTCTACTACTTCTACTACTTCTACTACTTCTACTACTTCTACTACTTCTACTACAACTACACTGCAACCTGATCCAACTGATCCGAAAAGGGCATTGATAAAGTATTTTACTTTCTAGTTGGCTTGCCTTAGCGACCCTGCCGAGCGATGCTCATCTGGTCTGGTGCAGCTGGGATGGTGTCGACTTGAAGCTGAAGGTCCAGCTGCCGAGCGTATTTCTGGGGTGAGGGAGAGGCAGTATGCGGGTTGAGGAGGGCCGCAATGGCCAGGGGGGCTGTTTGCCGGCGACGACCTCGGCCCTCAAGGCCTCGGACGAGGCTACGCAGGGCATTCATCACCGCGCACAGCGAGCGCTGGACGACCTGCCGGCTCACTTGCAACCCTTTGCACACCAGCTGTGGGCCGATCATGTCCACCCTGCACTCATTCGACGCCAACAGGAAAGCCTTACCACGCAAGCACAGCTTGCACAGGCTGCTGTGGCCGATACTGACGCCCTTGCCCAGCTGAGCCACCAATTGGACGCTCGCCGCGGTCGCCTGGCTGCAGCGCTCGACCAACTTCGCCACCGACGTTGTCGGCTCCGTGCGCAGCGCTGCTGGCAGCAGGTGCGGCGGCATGTACTGGCCCGTCAGTTGGAGCGGCTCCAGGCCAGTGTTTTACGCAAACGCCAGCACGACATGGCCATCGATCCAGCTTTGCTGCACGAGGATGAGGGAGCCGCCCCGGCCCGGCGCCTATTCGGATCCAACACCGTCACCGTCCCAAACGTTCCCGGTGGCCCTCAACGGCGTGGCCCACGTCAACGGCCCTCGCTCATCTTTAACATTAACAAACAAGACGACACCTTCTTCCAGAAACGCCGCCTGCCCCGCCTTTCCGAGCACACGTCCGTCTTTGTTCCACAGCACGCCGCTGACGATCTTCGCCACCTGTTGGAAGAAGTTAAGGAGGAGGCGGCTGCTCGACAGGCCCATGTGGCCCAACTTCAGCGCGAGCTTGAGGCCCTGGTACGCTTGGAGCAAGGAGGTAACGAGGAGGATGTCGTGGGCAGCTGGACTGATGCCAGCGAACGGGCTGCCCGCGTGCTGCGCCTCGTGACCTCTTTCGAGCGCCTGTTTAGCCAGGGATTTTTTCGCGATGCCGCCGTTCTGGGAGTCACGGGCCTCAACGGAACCCTGCGCACACCCCAAACCGCCGAGCGTTTTGCCGACACCCAACATGACGCCGATGACGCCTGGGCTATCTTTGCAGAGGCGCTCCTCCGCCATCGTCCTACTCAGGCCGAGGTGGTGTGGGTCGTACAACAAGCCCTCTTACGGTCCACGGAAGCTTCCCATGCGTATCTCGTTCAATGGGCACAGCACGGCCTGCTGCAAGGTCATAGCGCCATTCTATGGCTCCTCTGGCTCCACGTGCGCTGCTGCAATACCCACAGTGGCACGAGCACGGGCACAGCCGGAGGTAACCGTCTCCTTGGCCCCCATCTCAGCCGACCCCGCAGCCTCTCCAGCTCCGGGGGTACAGAACGCAGAGATGTGGCGCGGCTGGCCAGTGCGCATCTACGCGCCAAGGCCATTGGCTCCTCTCGCCGCCCCTCCACCCGCATGTCGGTAACCCGCAACAGCACCATGCTCCTCTCTTCTGCCCGCGCCCGGCGCGATGCGGCGGCCGCCGACGTCACCGTGCGGCGTAGCCTCTTGCTCACTGCCGTCTTGACTCCCATAACTGAACCCGGTGAAATATCTGCCTCCATCCTCATCGCCATTCCCTCGGAGCTGCAAAATGTCCCGGCTTTTTGTCAAGAAGCGGACGCACGAGCCTGGCGCTGGCTCTGCGAACCACAGCTTCCCATGCCAACGGGGCCCAGTGCCCTCTCTGCCACGGCCCTCATTTCTTTGCTTGATTCCCTGGCCCCAATCCCAGGGCTAGGACTGTCCCTAGCGGCTGATCCTGACATCCCCGCCTATGCAACTGCCTTGGCCCGGCGTTTGATCTTCGAGGCCGTGCACATTGTCGTATAAGCCCGTTGAAATATCGTTGAGAGTGTATGTTTCTGTTCCATTTTGTTTGAATAGTAGTCAAGGCATTATGATCAATCAAGAGTTACCCGGAAGCTGCACACATTCGTATTCAATCAGTATATTCACTACACACATCGAGGGATGGATCAAGAAAAGAGACAGCAACACAACCAAAAATGAAATCGGCCAAAAAGAAATTAAGGAACAAAGAAAGGCACCTGTAGCCCAGTCAAACACAGCATGCCTCGAACCAACAAAAGAAAGCATCAAAGAAAACTGAGGGGAGTCCGCTGCTTTGAAGGACAGAATGGGGCAACGCCTAGGAACGCGCCAATGGTGCGACAATGCCCAACAACAAAGAGAAGAAAAAGCTGGTTCTCGCTCAATCAAAAGAAATCAAAAGAAAAAAAAAAGGAACCCAAACAAACCAAACAAGAAAAGAAAGAAAAAAAGAAAGCAACCAAAGATGGGAACAAAGCCTGCGTGGCTATGCGGACATGCGGACCAAGACGAGCCGACAAAACCACCAACCATCACACTCGAGCCACTTAATGACCAAGAAACAGCACATGAAGAATGAAAAAGGGTGATGGCCAGCACCGCAAGCCCTTCTTCGTAAGAATCTGGTTATTGGCCATTAAATGGCATCAATGTCGATCACCGGACCCATGGTCTTCCAATGTTCACGCCACTGAGCTACAAGCTCCTTGGTGGGACGCCCAATGACGGGAATAGGGACCACGTTGGCGATGGGAAAGTCGCCGCGCCTGTGCGTGCTATCGTCCGTCCCAGTAGCCCAGCCGTCCAAGTCGGCTTGTTGCCAGGGCTTGGACATGACAATGAGATCTCCAACCTCAAAGCTAATTCATCCAGTCGATGAGCAAACCCCAGAATACAAGATGTCCGGTGAGGTGACTGACAAAGGCACACGTGAATATAAGCCACGCTAGCTGAACCGCAACGCGGGCGAGGAGACCAAACCTGAGGAACGAAGAGTTGCTTGATGGTGCACGGTATGCCATGGTGGCCATGGCATACTTTGAACGGTTGATCACGCCCTGGTTTGTTGATCAGGCGCACGGCAGTCGTCAATGACACGCATGAGCAAAAGTATGGCCTTGACATGGACCCCGGCTCCACTAACGCACACACGCACGCCTGCATTTGAGCAGCTTTAACATACCTGAAGATAGCTGGAAATGACGGCATGGATGGTGACACCATCAATGCTGGAGATGGAGACCTGGCGAACCCCACGATCAAGGTAGGTGATGCTGAAGCGATGCTGGACAACATCAAAGCGATTTTCCGGATTGATGGTCTCCTCCACGACCGTGACAGGGCTGATCTCCAAAATCTTTTCAAAGCCCACATTGATGAGGCTCTCCATGTGCGCGCCCTTGGCCCCGGCCGTGAGGTTGGCAAAGTTAAAGGCCATCAGACCTTCACGGTTCAGATACAGCGTAACAACCTCCGGCAAACGGTCGCCCATTCGCAGCTCGCACTCCTGGAACTGCTTTGAAAACTGCTGGGCCCATTGCGTGCGGGCATAGTGAATCACCTCAACCTTGCAGTCCAACTCAGTGCAAGGATTGTCATAAAACCCAAAATAATCAAAGCGTTCTGTCGTCTTGGCAATCCAGTACTTGAGGTCATGCCGCTCCATGCTGGGAGGGCGCACGACAAGAAAGCAAGTGAGACTGAAGATTAAAGGCTGGTTGGTATCAGACGAACGTGGACAATGCATCACTCGATAGGCACGGCGACGAGATGGTCCTACCCAGCAAAATCGTGGCGCTTGATCATGCGCTCCAGGCGAGCGGGCTCGAGGCGAAATCCACGTTCAATGTAGTAGAGCCGCGCCAGCATTGAAGCCATGTCTTCCTCACTTTGCACCGTGTAGAAGCCTTGAACGTCACGACCGTACATGTGGAAACGGATGAGTTGAGGCATGTCGGCGGCGGCAGATCGATTGGCTGGCCGGTCGTAAAAGTGGGCACATACCGCGTTCGAGGCCATCAACAATTTGCTCGAAGATGATGTCTGCGTTATCACCACCTTCAAACCAGGGCGCAAACATTTCCTTGCGCAGCAGCAATTGGAATGGGCTGTGGGCCATCGTGAACGAGTCAGGACATGAGGTGCTAAGCCTCTGGATGGTCACAAACATGATGCAGCATGGCTAGACACATGGCTAGACACACACCGTTCTTGGGCCAAGCGCTGCCAGCTGCCTTGGAATCGAGCTGAGGCAAGAGTTTCGTATTGAAAGACGATGTCAAGGACAAAGGTATCCCCAGCACCGCAAGAGGTCATCTAAAACAAGAAACACAGGGGCGAGAGTCGTCCGACAAAGTATAACGCATGAGCGGCATGGGGGGGTTGGGTCGCATGACACTGATACACCCTAGTCTCGGAATTGGGTGTGCGCACCATGTCACCATCGGTGTCGGCGACGTAGATTGAGAAACCGGCTTCGCGAGCAAGCGCGGATTGGGCGTAAATTTGTTCCAGCAACTCCCGAGCGGTCGTTTGTGAGTCCAGCTCGACATTGACGCGGTCAACGAAAAAGTCAACCTGAAGGCGGATGGGCTCTTTCGAAAAGGCCATCTCCACCTCGAGAGCAGTCGGTGGTTTAGTGCGGGTCCCCTTGTTGACGGTGCGTTGCAGGCGGGCGCGGACAAAGGGGGCATATTTGGGTGGGCCCTTGGTCAAAAAGTCATCGACTACGCCGCGCAGGCGCTTGGAGGGGGCGAAGCAGCCGAAAATGAGGCCAAGCAGGATCCATCCACGAGCGTGGCTCACGCGATTGGGGTTGTTGGAAAGCTGTTTGAACAGTTGGCAGACAATCTCATCGCGGGTGTGGGGGCGGGTGATGCCGGTGTTGGCCACCAACTAGAGCGAGAGCGAGGGAGAGCGGGGGAGAGAGCACGCAATGGGCAGGGCCTGAGTCAGGCGGGAGCCAGGGCTTGGGCATGCGCATCGCACCACAGAGGTATGGAGAAGGTTAGTCGAGGAGCGGCATACCTGAACCATTTCCAGGTTTGTGAGCGGGTTTGTGCGCTTCTGGGGTAGGTCGCCCATGAAGCGTTGGATGGTGATCCAGCACGACAAGAGCCGATCAGAGTCGCCGTCGCCCCATGCTTGACGGAGGAGAGGTCCATCGATGGCCCCGCGATGGTGCTCTCGATTTTTTTTATTCTTGTTCTACAGGTGTACCAGGATGCGTGAGTTGGAAGCGAAAGGCGAGCGTGGCTCCGACAGCGGAGCATCAGAACCTGAAAGTCACGCCCACCCACCTGAAAAAACTTGTTCGCAAACTGCGCAAAGGTGAGGCTGTCTTCCTCGCCTACATGGGTCAGAACAAGAGTTTTAGGAGTTGATCAGGCATTAAAACCTTAAAAAGGCTGGCATGAACCCAGTCCCAACGGTGGACAAGAACGCGAAACAACGCCAGCTGAAGAAAAGAAAGGGGTGGGGCGAAACTGATCATGGCCCCGTGGTCGGGGTGAAGGCTATAGGAGTGACGCACCCAAAAACTCAAAGGCTTCATCGACTTGATCGGAAGTGGTCATGGTGCATGGTTTATACCGGGACCAGACGACGCGCAGCAAGGACGATCCGTGTCTCTATGTGTGTGTGTGGTGTGTGTGTGTGTGTGTGTGTGTGTGTGTGTGTGTGTACGAATGGGATCGGCGCCAGCTGCGGGCAGGTTCTCTGAAGAAATCGCGGCGGGATGTGATCCGGCTCTAGTTTGTACCACCAGCCGTCACTCAGCCGGCTGACCACGTTTGATCAAATGCAGCCGCGTCAAATATCAGCCGAAAGAAGAGAAAAAGGCCCCTTGATACACCCGCTGCCGTTTGTGCTTGCGCTGCTGGGCAAGACTGCAACAGAAAGAAAAAAATAAAATAAAACAAAACAAAGAAATGTAAAACAAAAGAAACCCCTCTCTCTCTCTCTCTCTCTCTCTCTCTCTCTCTCTCTCTCTCTCTCTCTCTCTCTCTCTCTCTCTCTCTCTCTCTCTCTCTCTCTCTGTCCCTCTCTCTCTCTCTCTCTTGCCGGAGTCGTGTCAGCTGTGGCGCACACAACCTGAGCTCTGGGACACTGGCCTGACGGGCCTCTATCTCAGGTTTACAAGCCTCTCTTTGGCGTTGCGGAACCTCTAGGGGATGTTGAAGATCAACCTGGTCAGTGGGAAGGAAAGTTCTTCATATGGACCACTCCTGACCCACACACACCATCATGAGCGGGGCCGAGCCGATGATGGCGCTGTGCCATCCATTCAAATCATCCTTCCCGCATTCATTCAATCCGACCTTTCCATTGCAACTCCCTCCAACACCTCGCGCACACACACACACACACACACACACACACACACACACACACACATACTTTCATATGATCCCCTAGGGCTGCCGTCTCATCTCTCCGTCGGCCGTGCCCTGGCCCTGCCCATACCGTCCCTTATGGGCGGGCGTGTGGCTCCGCGATTTCCCAAAACGACGAGATGTTGCACTGCTCTTGATATACGCAAGTGTGCTCTTGGTCACACCTATACCATGTCTAATGTCTGTTTTATACTACACTTTGAGTTAAAGTTACCAAGTGTTAGACTTGAGGAAGCGGCTTCAGATCAAGTGTGACCAAGGGTACACTATGATGGCTTGGCGGGCTGTGGACGTCGTCATACGATGCCTGTGTATCTGGAGAGCGAGTTGATGCAGATTTCAACTATGGCTGTTACTTAGTTTATGTAGCTGATATCTGACTTGTTGTAGGTGCGAAACGGCAGCGCAGGCGAGCACATCACATGCCGGTGGTGAGTACGCCGGTGTTCTGGTGCTTGAGTGCCAGAGTTCTCTTTGCTCTGCACATAGCGCCCAAAAAAGATAACCGGTATAATGGCCCTAAGCTACCCAACACCAACCCGTATGTTGCGTGAGCTTGTGTCACCTTTGGTGTATTCATAACCATACATGGACGACAGCGCCTACCTCCTTCCTGCTTCCTTCCTGCTTCCGTTTCCTGCTGCCTGCTTCCTGCGGGAGGGAGAGGAAGAGGAGGAGGAGGAGGAGGAGGAAAGAAGAGGGAAGCCTACCCGCTGCCATTCATCCCGGCCCATCGCCGCCATTGCCCACTTCTTCCTGGAATCTGTGACGCTCTCTCTCTCGAACCCCTCTCTCTGTCTCTCTCTCTCTCTCTCGAGCTCTCTCTCTTTAGAGCTCTCTCTAGATGATCTCTCTCTCTTTTATCTCTCTCTCTCTCTCTCTCTCTCTCTCTCTCTCTGTGGTAGTTGTGCTTTTCCCTTTCAAACCGACCAAACCAATTCATCTCTCTCTCTCTCTCTCTCTCTCTTTTCTCATGTCTCTCTCTGTCTTTGTCTCGTCACACTTTGAAGCACTTCCAACAGGTGAATAGCATTTACTACAAGGTTTAGAGAGAGAGAGGGTGGAGGAGATAGCCCATGCACACCACCGGATGAGACGGTACGTTGGTGGTGCGATACGTGGGGAGGAGGAGGGGCAGCTCTGTTGGACCGCCTGGCACTTGGCTGGGTGTTTGTTTGGTGCACAACTCATGTGGGTCAACTCCGTTGTTCGGCTTGGGGTGCGGAACGTCAACCGCGCCATGACTGGGCGTGATAACTTGGCTCCAGTGGTCATCCAGAGCGCACGCACGCACGCACGCACGCACGCACGCAGCCCACCATGTTTGTTTGAGCAGCAGCGCGCTACTGTTGATCTCTGTCCTTCGGGCACTCTAGTCGATCAGAGCCAGCCGTCTGATCAAGCACCCTTGAAGCCAGACACTATAAAGCCCTCCGCTTCTCTCGCGCTGGTTCTGATAGACCCCCCATCTGTACCTGTGGCGGTTGAAAACACAAGTCTCACCACTCGACACACCAGACTTGTTGGACCTCTCTGTTTTAACCACCTCGCGTGCGGCCAGGCTGGCCGCCGCCGCGCACGCCCACCATGTCTTCCGTTCGGGTAAGTCGCTCGACCAACTTGACCTCCTGTGCCTTGGCCCCTTGCACCCACACTCAGCCAGGCTTGCTCCCCACAACGTACCTGACGATTCACGTTGTGCTGTCTTGTATCGTGTCATATTGTGTTATTGTGCTGTGTTCCCAGGATCGCATCGCCGAGCGGCGTCGCCGCGTCGAAGAACTCAAAAAGGCCCGCGAAAACATGGGCCGAGTCCGTCACATGCCAGGGCTGCACCTTCTTAATATGCTTCCAACCCCAACTCCTCACCATGGCTCACCCGCGCCGCGCCCTGCTGTGCCCCCTTGCCCGCTTGGCGAACCAACCGCCCGCCTCTCCAGATTACCGAGGACAGCACAGATGATAACCTTGATGCCATCAGTACCCGATTCCGCGCCGCCTCCGTCCTCAACCGGCCAAACCGCAGCACCAGCGATGCCAATTCGCTGCTGAGCCCGCCGGTTGCGGACGCGGATAGGTTGGTTCTCAGCCCGTTTGAGACCGATATACCCTTGCCCCTTACCCTTTGTCCAAACCATCCTCCACTCCCCAAACCTCGCAACCTGAACGCACCCCTTATGCCACAAAACCACCATGCTGCACCCACCCTACCAGTGACGCACGCAGCATCCACTCCCGACACGAGAGCTCGGCAGGCAGTGCCCAGTCTGCTGCTCGCATTGCCGCTCTTGAAGCCGAAGTGAACGCTCTCAAAGTGCAGGCTGATCGCTTAAACACCGCCAAGCAGGAGGCAGAAACAGCGGCCCATGCCGCCAACGACAAGGCCACCACCGCCCTCGAACAACTGGAGCTCTCCATCAACCAGGTGCAACAAAAACAGTCTCAGATTGATGAATTGCAACAACGCCTCTCAGACTCGGTTCAAGACGACCAAAACGGTCTCTCAGACGATGTGCAAGCCAAGCTCACGGCCCTCTTCGAAGTCAAGCTACAACAAGTCATCGATCGCCATAACGAAGAGCTCACACAGTGCGTTGTCCCTGTCGGATCCAATGTGCTCTTGCCATTCCCCCAAACCCTACCCCCTCGCATGCCCCCTTACATGCACATGGCCATTTCAACCTTCCCCTTGTATCTGTGTACGCCGTGTAGGATGCGCGATTCTCGCGATGAAGTCCGCACAGAACTCGAAACCCTGCGTGCCCATCTTGCCACCAAAGAACAGGAATGGACACAAATTGGTCAAATGCTTTTCGGGGCCGCCCATCAAGCCGGCATTGATCCCAGCAAGTTTGACTTGGGCTCTATCCTCGAGGAACACTCGTGCGTCTCGCCTCAATGTACCCTGTTCCCCACCCGCCTTTCTTCGAGGGAGGAGGTGTATTTGTGGTTGTGTTTGTTTTTTGTTGCTTTGTGCCCCCTGGGCTCACATTCACCATACAAACATGGTTTACCTGGTTGCAAAAGACTCTTTCAAGAAGAAAACGAACAGCTGCAAGCCATGCTCGACCAAGCCCTCAAGGAACTTGAAGACTCTCGCTCAAAGAATGCCGGTCTGCGCGAAAATATCAACTTTATGGAACAAACCCTGACATCCTTTGAGGAGGAAAACCGATCAGTCCTCGATGAGCTCGAGGGGCTACGCGGCACCCTCAAGAGGTCCACGGGTGTTTCAGACAGCGAGGTATCGGAATTGCGTGTCAAAGCAGAGCAAACCGAGGAAGCCCTTGCAGCGCTCAAGTCTGAACACGCTACGCTTCAGGAGGAGGTATGGCACATCTACCTGTCTTACTTGAGTCTTGAGGCCCGCCTGCCTGCCAGTAGAAAAAAAAAAACTTGTTGCCTTCCTGATATTCCCTTGCTGTGCCTATTCTTGACCTGTAATGCGCCGCCACCTCATACCGCAATGTTTGCTTGTTTGTTTTTGCTTTTCATTTCTTCTTTTCGACTGTTTGCTCGTCTCACTTGCAGATGAAAAAGGTGCGGGCACAGTCACAGCACGAGCTGGGCATGGCGGACGAACTCCGCCATGTTCGCGGCCAACTCCAAGAAGAGAATGACACCCTACAGGCGCAAGTTGACCGGCTCAATAATGAACTGAAAGAGGCCAAAGCTGAACTTGGGCAAATGGCCAAGGACATGCATGAACGCGAACAAGAACTGATGGAGGAAGCCAATGCCGCAAACGAGCTGTCGCAAATTGCTCAAGAAGAGGTACAGCTATCTGCAAGCCTTTTTTTTTCTTCTTCTTCTTCTTCTTCTTCTTCTTCTTCTTCTTCTTCTTCTTCTTCTTCTTCTTTTCTTTTTCTGTTCTCCCATCACAACAGCAGGCCCCTGTACACACCTCACTTTTGCCTGATGCTTGCTAAACACAGCTGGTGAAGATGCAGCAAACAGTCTCGACGGAGCAAGAAGCCTCCTCAGCGGCGCAGGACGAGCACAAGCAAGAAATGCAGCGCATTCAAGCTGAACATACCAAGGAGATTTTGGTATGCTTATCCTGACCCCACTCTTTCCCTCTGTCTCTCGTTTTTCCCTGCCGCACGCCAAAGCATGCTCACGTGCTCTCGACCTCGACTCTTAGGATTTGCAAGAGCAAATTCAAAACACTGAAGCACATATGCAAAGTCAGTTCATGCTGATTCGGTGCACGGTGCTGGTTGATCGTTGCTGGCCTTTCTTCTTCTTCTCTTCTTCTTCTTCTTCTTGTTCTGTTCTTCTTTTCTTCTTAATAGTTTTTATTGCCTGCCCTCCGTCTGACTCATGATTCTGGGCTCATGTGCCTCTCTCCACTTTGCAGAAGTGGTGTCGAGCATCAACGCCGATTTGCGAGGCGCTCAGGCTGCAGCAGGAGCTTACACTAGCCTCGAAGACCTCGTTGACCAACTGCGCCAAGCAAAGCGAACAGCAGAGCAGGAAGCGGAACAGCTGCGTGAGAACCTCGGCGCTACCTCGGCCAAGCTGCAGGAGCGCGAAGAGCTTCTCACCCGTGTCATGGAGCACATTCAAAGCATGGGAGGCAACGAGGGAGGCGAGACAAGTGGGGACAGCTCGCCACTTGAAGCCCTGGAGCACCGCTTGAAGCGCTTGGGCGAAGAGCGGGATGCCCTCTTGACCTCATTGGACGAGTACGAGCAGGAAAACGATGGTCTCAAGCAAGAG